GGGTGGATGGGTGGATGGATGGATGGATGGATGGATGGATGGATGGATGGATGGATGGATGGGTGAGTGGGTGGATGGATGGATGGGTGGGTGGATGGATGGGTGGATGGATGGACAGATAGATGGATGGATGAGTGGATGGGTGTGTAGGGGACATCTATGGCCCTCATGGCAACCCTTACCCAGCACCTCCTGCTTCAGCTCCTCCATGCGGCCCGCGTGCAGCAGATGGAAGGGCAGTTCTGTCAGCTTCCTCCGGTTGGCGACTGTGCCTGAGAACCACAGTGGTTGTGGGGCCACCTGGTGGAGGTGGGGAGGGAGGGGATGAGCTTGGGCTTGAACTCAAGTACTTTCCTTCACTCCACAAATACTGGCCAAGCTGGCACCAGATGGTGCTGAGGGGACGGGAATATAGTGGCCAACAGAGCTACCCACCACCCCACAGCCGGGCTGGGCCAGATGGAGGGACCGGGGCTTGAGCATTTCAAGGATGAGGCATGGCAGGGAAACGGGAAAGTTCTGCTGAAGGTGGGACATTGGAGCTGGGCCTCGGAGGATGAATAAGAGTCTGGTAAAACACGTCAGAACAGTGGCATTGCCAGGCACAGAACGGTGTCCAAGCTATGGACGCCAAGGCACATGTGGAAAAGGACCAGGTGGAATTGCATGCGAGGCTGACGGGGGGGGGGGGGATTCTTCTCTTTGGTCTCTACTGTGTGTGTCCCGGTAATCACACGCACCCGTGTGTGTGTGTGTGTGTGTGTGTGTGTGTGTGTGTGTGTGTGTGCATGCACAGGGCAGAGGTAGATATTACAACTCTTCCTCAGTTGTGCTCCATGTGACTTTTTGAGACAGGCTCACAATGAACCACATCAACTGTGGTAGACAGACTGGACATCTAGCCCCAAACAGCCACCGAATTCCCCCCCACAGGCTTTTTGTTTTGTTGGAGACAGGGTCTCACTATACAGCCTTGGCTGTCCTGGAACTCACTCTGTAGCCCAGGCTGGCCTCAGACATCCTCCTGCCTCTGCCTCCTGAGTGCTGGGATTAAAGGCCTGCGCCACCACAGCTGGGCTGCAGCAGCGTGCTCTTAACTGCTGAGCCATTTCTCCAGTGCCTGGCTTTTTATGTGGGTTCAAATATTCAGATGCAAGTCTTCATGTAAAGAAGAGTCACAGCTCTGTCCTCAGGCGCAGCCAAGGAGACGCCTGTGGACAGCGGGAGGCTGTACCTTCCCAGCTGAGCAGCTGACAGTGTGGGATGTGGAAAGTCTTCAACAAGTCCCGGTGCTGATTGACATTTTGATTTTAACCTCATCAATGGCAAGAGGGCTGCACCCCATAAACACTTAGTGCACACACCCACCGTGATTCCTGACCCTGACCCCAGAATGACATTCTGGGGCTGAAGGAGCACCTCGAAGCTGTGGAAGAGGCCTGAAGTGACTTTGGAGGGTGTTTTGAGTGGGAGAGAAGGACAAGGACAGCTATGTCAGGGGATGCTCTGGGAATGGAGTGGCAGGTGGCCTCACCTTGCGGTCCAGGTTTAGGGGCTTCCCCACGAGGGGCAAGGTGATGAGTTTCTTGGTGCCCTGGCTCCAGGCTCCAGAGAAGAATTCAGCTAGCACACCGTGTCTCTTGGATCTCTCAGGCCCAGACAGGTATCGAACCCGGATCACCTTGGACAGCTGTCTGTGGAGAAAGGGCACAGGCTGGTGGCCCAGGGGGCAGTGCAAATGCAGAGGCTGTCTGTCTGTCCACTCCATGTCCTGTTGTCACTTAACACTGCTCTCTGAAATGGCCCTGCTTTTTTATTTCTCTTTTTTCCCTTAAAAAGTTTTGCCTCTGCCTGGGCAGTGGTGGCACACACCTTTAATCCCAGCACTCGGAAGGCAGAGGCAGGCGGATCTCTGTGAGTTCGAGGCCAGCCTGGTCTACAGAGTGAGTTCCAGGACAGGCACCAAAACTACATAGGGAAACCTTGTCTCGGAAAAAAAAAAAAAGGTACATAGAAAGTTTTGCTTCCGAGGGCAATGAGATGGCGCAGTAGACAGAGGTGGTTGCCACCAAGCCTCGTGGTCGGAGTTCAATCCCTGCCTCTTACATCGCAGGAGGAGAGAACTGGCTCCCACAGGTTGTCCTCTGACCTCCACACACACACACCTACATGCATACATAATAAGTAAATGTAAAAAAGAGCCTTTGATCTGGTGTGGCAGGTGGCACAAGACTGTCACTGTATCTCCTCAGAGGCAGGAGGGTCACAAGCTGAAGCCGAGCGTGGCTGGGCTGAACTGGGAGCTCAAGACCAGCCCGGGCAACTTAACAAGACATCACAGCAAATCAAAAAGGAAAAGAGGCTGGGAAGACGGCTTAGTGGATAAAGTGCTCACTCTGCAAGCGTGAAGATCTGGGTTCACACCCCAGCCCACACACGTGAAAGCCTGGTGAGGCGGGAAGCACTTGCAATCCCAGCGCTCGAGAGGAAGCAGAAACAGCAGGAGTCTAGGAGGCTTGTGGTACAGCCAGTATGGCTGAACCGGTGATCTTAGGTCCAGTGAGAGACCCTCTCTCCAAATACGAGGTGACAGAAGTCAAACCTGAGGTCAACGTCTGTCCTTCATAAATGCACACATAGGTGAGGGCACCACAGACAAATGCATATCACACACACACACACACACACACACACACACACAATGAAAAAAAGGCTTGGAGTGTGGTCAGGGTGGAGCCCTCGCCTAGAATTCCCAGTGAGGGGCTGGGGGCGTGGCTCAAGGGTGGAGCCCCTGCCTAGAATCCCCCAGTGAGGGGCTGGGGGCGTGGCTCAGGGGTGGAGCCCCGCCTAGAATCCCCCAGTGAGGGGCTGGGGGCGTGGCTCAGGGGTGGAGGCCTGCCTAGAATCCCATAGCACCTCACACAACACTCAAACACACAAAACAGACAAATTAGGTATGTATAGTTTACACTAGGACTGGTTTGTGCTAGATTGCCTGAATACCCCAAAAAAGGAAGTCAAGGATTTGCTTGGGAGCCTTTGCTCTCAGGGTCCCACAAAGAAAGTGTCCCTTCTCAGGGCCTACCTGTGCGCGATGGCCAGCAGCGTGCAACCATCCACGGGCCTCCTGGTCAAGCAGTGTCCCAGGTCCCGGCGGAGCCGCACCCACAGCAGGGGCGGGAAGCGCAGGAGCTCCTTGCTAGGCGGTGTCCAGTCCCGGTACACGACCTGCAGGACCTCATCATCCAAAGACAACACATCCTTCAGCTCCGCCTCTGAGAGACCGTACCTGTGGAGCGAGGGGGCACAGCACACTGTGACAGCCCTGTGATGAGGATGCGCAGGGACCATGTGTGCAAACTTCTGACAGGGACCCTCCAGCACGGACCACTGCAGATGGCCCCCTTTCACACACAGGGTCTGCACAGGCCACTCTCCAGGCTCGGGGTGGGGTGAGGGCATGTCAGTCGGGCATGGTGACACGCCTCTGTCATCCCAGCACAGGGAAGTGCAGGCAGGAGGATCTGGCGCTCCAGGTCTTCCTTGGCTACATAGTGAGTTCCAGGACAGCCTGGGCTACAAGAGAGTCTGTCTTAAAATGTTTTCAAAAGGGATAAAGAGCAGGGCATTGGTGGAACTCACCTTTATCCCAGCACTCAGGAGGCAAAAGCAGGCAGATCTCTGAATTCAAGGACAGCCTGCTCTACAGAGAGAGAGTTCCAGGACAGCCAGCACTACACAGAGAACCCTGTCTTAACAAACCAAAACCAGCCAGGCGGTGGTGGCACACGCCTTTAATCCCAGCACTCAGGAGCCAAAGCCAGGCCGATCTCTGTGAGTTCGAGACCAGCCTGGTCTCCAAAGCGAGTTTCAGGAAAGGTGCAAAGCTGCACAGAGAAACCCTGTCTTGAAAAACCAAAACAAACAAACAAACAAAAACCAGACCAGGCTGGAGAGATGGCTCAGTGGTGAAGAGCCTATCAGAAGGGATGGAGTTCAAGTTTGCAAGTCAGGCTGCTCACAACTACCTGCACCTCCAGCTCCTGGGGATCTGACCTGCAGTGAGGCACACAGACATGGGCACGCCTACATGAATAAATATTTTAGAGCAGGGTGTGGTGGCACATGTCTTTAATCCCAGCACTTGGGAGGCACAGGTAGACAGATCTCTGTGAGTTCAAGGCCAGCCTGATCTATGCAGCAAGTTCCAGGACAGACAGGGCTATGTAGAAGGACCATATGTCAAAAAATAAATAAAAATAAATAATAAAAAGGCTAACGCTGACATAGATGGACATATACATTTAGTATGCACAGAACACATGTGTTCATTATATGATGTCCGTGTCAGGCATAGATTGTAGAACTTACTGTATTGGGCTGAGAATGTGGCTCAGAGGGCAAAAGGCATCAGTTGCCAATGCTAACAGTCTAGTTCAATCTCTGGGACCCACATGGTGGAAAGAGAGAACTGACTCCTGTAAGTAGAAGCAGGTGGATCTCTGTGAGTTCAAGGCCAGCCTGGTCTACAAAGTGAGCTCCAGGCCAACCAGGGCTACATAATGACATCCTGTCTCAAAAAACCTACAATTTGAGGCTGGAGAGATGGCTCAGTGGTTTAGAGCACTAGCTGGTCCTGAGTTCAGTTCCCAACAACCACATGGTGGCTCACAGCCACCCGTAATGATATCCGGCATACGTGCAGACAGAACACTGTATACATAATAAATACATAAATATCTTTTAACAACCCTAAAATTTGTTGTACTATATTAATATATTAATAGTTGGATTAGTTCTATAATAGTATTACCAACATAATATGTTAAATATAATATTATATTAGGAATATAGTGTGTTGAGTATATTACTATGATATCAATATAATGTCAGTTATGTTCCCACATTATGCCATATTAATATTTTTATATTGCTCACATTATACTATCCTGCTACATGAAAATCACTGATAAATTCATACCAGCCACATAATTACTGTGTCAGGATTGGAGAGATGGCTCAGTGGTTAAGAGCACTAACTGCTCTTCCAGAGGTCCTGAGTTCAATTCCCAGCACCCATATATCAGCTCACAACTGTCTGTAACTTCAGTTCCAGGGGATCTGATACCTTCACACCAATGCACATTAAATAAATTAAAAAAAAAAAAAAAGCCAGGCAGTGGTGGCACACGCCTATAATCCCAGCACTCGGGAGGCAGAGCCAGGCAGATCTCTGTGAGTTCAAGACCAGCCTGGTCTACAGAGCTAGTCCAGGACAGGCTCCAAAGCTACAGAGGAACCCTGTCTTGAAAAAAAATTACTGTGTCATCTCTGCTTGTGAATTGCATGGAGTTATATGTTACATGTATGTGCATGTATCTCTCTAGGGTGCACTGACTATCGTCTTACTCTAGACTACTGAGCAGAGCTCCCGGCCCACTTAGGGATGCCAAGGACAGCTCTTGCCCTGTAAGTGACAGTACCTACAGACTCTGTCACGACTCCCCCAGGGCTGAATGTTCTGCAGTGAGGATCTCATTTTTTCTTTTACAGATTTATTTTATTCTGAGTTCCATGTGTGGGTGTCTTAGACTGCTTTGGCTTGTGATAAAGCACTGACCAAAAGCAACTTGGGGAGTAGTGAGACACGGTGGCGCACACCTTTAATCCCAGCACTCGGGCGCCAGAGGCAGGCGGATCTCTGTGAGTTCAAGGCCAGCCCGGTCTCCAGAACAAGTTCTAGACCAGCCAAGGCTACAGAGTGAGACCTTATCTAAAAAACATAAAGGAAAAGAAACGCAACTCAGAGAGGAAAATGTTTGTTTACAGATCACGGTTCATCCCCGGGAACCAGGGCAGGAGCTCAAGGCAGGTACCAGAAGCCCAGAGCTGGCACCACCCACAGTGGGCTGGGTCACTTCCTCTCAATCAGGAATTAAGAAAATGCTCCACAGACTTGCCCACGGGTCACTTGGACAGGGCAATTCTTCCCCTGGGGTTCCCTCTGCTGGGGTGTGTCGGAGTGACCACCAAGATCAGCCACTAGAGGAGTGAGTATGTGAGCGCAGTACCCTCGAGCACCAGAAGAGGGCGTCGGGTTCCTTGGCGCTGGAGTCCATGTGGCCTTGAGGACTCGGGTGCTGGGAACAGAAGCTGGGTGCTGGTCTGAGCAGCCAGTGCTCTTAACCATTGAGCCGTCTCTCCAGTCCAGGGACCTCTTTCTTTGAGTCAGCTCCGCCTTGTGAGCACATCTTTTTCCACCATCCTGCGCTTCACCATGTGAACAAGGCATGTTCTCGTGGAGGTGCCTGGATCGCCCTTCAGGGGCCGCCTGCCACCCTCCCTACCGGTGTGAGCCTCTCCCCTAAAAGCACCAGTTAGTTTCTGTCTTCCTGAATTTGGGTATTGGAACAACAAACCAGGAGAACAGTGCCTGGCCCCCAGCTCATGAGCTCACAGGTCCCCCGAAGCTCTGGGCTAGCCGATGTTCTCAGGGGCCGAGGGAGGGCAGCAGACTCGCCGGCGTTCAGAGAGGCAAATCCACAGAACCTTCCAATTTCAGTAACAACTTGGTTTCTTCCACGCAAACTTGGAGCACTGTTGTCCCCACGGTGTCTCATGCAGACAATCAGCCCCCGTGGGGTCTGGGGTTCAATCTGCATTCTAGGGTACATCCCTGGAACCAGCTGGAAGGCGGTTCCCCCAGCTTCGTGATGGAATGACGCTCTTGTTCTTCTCGTTTGTTTACTGTTGTTTGAGACAAGGTTTTGCTCTGTAGCCCAGGCTGGCCCAGAACTCCCCAACCTCCTATCTTAGCTTCCCAGGTGCTGGGGTGACAGGTAGGCACTGTCGTGCCTGGCACCCTGAGTTATTTGATTTTACTTTTCCTCATTCTTCACGTGCACGTGTATGTTGTGGGGGGCGGGGGGAGGAAGGCACGTGTGTATGGTGTGCACATGTGTAGGCCTGCATGTGGGAGCTCAGGGTCGCTGACAGAATTCATCCTCAGTGGCTTGTCCACCTTATTCACTGAGACGGGCTCTGTCAGTCAAACCCAGAGCTCACCAGTGTGGCTAGTCTTGTCAGCCAGCTTGCTCTGGGGATCCCATCCACGACTTCCAACCACAGGTGGGCTACCACGCCCACCCGCATTTCTGTGAGTCTAGGGATCCGAACACTGCTCTTCATGTTTGTGTGAGCGCGTTCCCAACTGAGCCGCCTCAGCCTCCAGGGCCTCATCTATTCATGTTGGTGAGTGGATTTGTTTCACACATACACACGTTCATACACACATATGTGAACTCACACACATGCACTCTCACACAACCATGCATGCATGCACACACATGCACACACACCCCAAAGCTGGACTGATGACTGCCATTTTTAATTTCTATCGATAAAGACCCGAAAGGGCACAGTCCAAGAATGAAAAAGTCTCAGCACCAGAGATGGCGCCTCACACACCAAATAAATAAAGACAGCCCCCAGAGACTGTTCTGCTTTTATCTCCATGTGAGACATCTACAGAATGTCGGTTTACTGTGGAGTGGAAAAGGCCCTCACCAGAACTCAGCCATTGCAGCATCTAGATCCCTCCAGCCTGTCCACAGGACACCGGGAGACCTAGAGTCGGCTGCCGGAGCCCCGCTGTGGAATTGTTTAGTATCTGTGGAGAACCTGAGCTCACAAGCAGACCCCAGTCCTCACTCCGTGAAAGAGAAAGCCCACCCCCTGCACTTGGTGTGGGCACACACAGTCTGTTTATTTATTTGATGCGTGTGTGTGTGTTTGCCTGCATGAGTTTATGTGCATCACACACTTGCCTGGTGGCCACAGAGGCCAGAAGAGGGCATCAGATACCCTGGAACTAGAATTACAGATAGGTGTGAGCTGCAAAATACAGGGACCAAACCCAGGTCCTCTGTAAGAGAAGCATGTGCTCTTAACCCCTTAGCCATCTCTCCAGCCTGTTTATCTATCTATCTATCTATCTATCTATCTATCTATCTATCTATCTATTATTTATTTATGTATTTTTTTTATTCTGAGACAACGTCTCATGTAGCCCAGGCTAGCTTCAATCTCACTATGTATCCAAGTATAACTCTGAACTCCTGATCCCCCTGCCTCCACCTCCCAAGTGCTGGGATGACAGATGTGCACCATCACATCTGGTTTATATGGTGCTGGATGGAATCCAGGCCTCCATGTATGCTAGACAAATGCTCGACCAACTAAACTACAAGCACCCTGCCCACTGAGCGACAAGCACTCCACGAACTAAACTACAAGCACCCTGCCCACTGAGCAACAAGCACTCCACGAACTAAACTACAAGCACTCTGCCCACTGAGCTACAAGCACTCCACCAATGGAGCTCTAAGTACTCCATCTGCTACTGAGCCTCAAGTACTCCACCTGGTGAGCTTCGGCAGAAGCACTTTCTAAGTTTTTGGTTGAGTCCTGGGTGTGGATCGTAACCTCTACAGAGAAGTGACTGCCCGTTTCTCTTATTGCTGAGACCCAGCCTGGGGTGCTTTGTCATAGCAGCAGGAACGGACTAAGACACTGAAGACCTTTTAGGACTCTATGTTGAGTGGGGTGTGTCCCCCATGCCTGGTCCCCCACGCTGATGTGGGAGCTTGGGTCACCTTTGGGAGGAGGAGCCTGGCTGGTAAAAGAAAGGCAGTGGGGAGGCCCTGAGGGTTAAAACAGCTTCTGGTGTCCCCTGTGCTGCCTGCCTGCCACGTGTGAGGAATCTGGGACACACTCTCACTCATACAGCCCCCGACACGACCCTGCGTGGGGGCAGGAGAGGGAGCAGCTGGCAGGGCTCTGTGCAGACAGTGGGTCCATTGTGAGTGTGGGGCTGGAGTGTAGCTCACTGAATAAAGCGTGAGGACCTGGGCTACATCCCCAGTGACGAAAACACACTGCTCACGGCAGCATGCCAGCGCCGGGGAAGCAGAGACCGGCGGGTGCCTGGCTCCTTGGCCAGCCGCACCTGCTTGGTGAACCCAAGGCCTGCAAGAGTCTGTGTCTCCAAAACAGAAAGAAGAAAGAAAGAAAGAAAGAAAGAAAGAAAGAAAGAAAGAAAGAAAGGAAGGAAGGAAGGAAGGAAGGAAGGAAGGAAGGAAGGAAGGAAG